AACAATGAGAAGTCGAAGCCCCTGCAAAAGAAGAGCTTACATTCTGCTGCTTGAATATTATGTAATAAATAATAATGTGTAATGTGTTAGAGAAGAGTGTGAACTCACAAGTTTGCCTTTGTCAACTTAAAAACTGCGAGGAATGAACATATTTACATATTTTCTTAACTAGTTTCGCAAGCAAAATGGTATTATTTTTTGGGGTTGCCTGCATTGTCGTCGATAACATTTTAAAAAACCTCCAGCAAACAATTTCTCATTTGTAATAAGTGCACAAAATTACATTAGTTTCTGTCAGGTTTGACTGAATAGAGTATTCCAAATAGGATTTGTAGAAGGCATCAAAATATCAATTTTATTTTGAGCAATATATCTGTTAAGGAGAAGAAGCTCTATTTTTGCCCCCATGCAACTTTCCCCAATGGGATAAATGGTAAACCCATGATGAGCTTTAGCATTTGACCTCAACATTCTGAACATGGCGAATGGGAAGGGTGCTAAATATGTATTGGACTGGAACAAGAAAAGAATCCAGATGTACGGCTTCAGGTCCAAAATCCAAAGTTCTTTGCATTTTTCAAGGAATGTCTTGTCGTTTCTTTGATGGCCAAAGTTATGGCTAAAGTTACGAAAGAAAAGTTTTCACAGGTTTTCAAGCCCAGAAATTTGAACTCAAATGTTCTTCAAATAACTTTGAAAAAATCATTATTAAAATTATACTTATAAATACTTTAAACCGTGTGTCAGGTACTGCTCTGGAAATTGAAGAGAGAGAGATGCGTAAGAGAGAGACTAATAACATTCTCGTTTTAGCCGTTATCATCCCTCTCTCTCGTAAACTTGATCAATTTAGGGATTAACAGTTGGGAATTTTACAAGTATTCCATCTAACTAAAAGTCTCGAAAGGAATCTGCTTCTCGACATCGATGGATTGACTTCATTACTTCTAAACTGATCTTCACCAATTTTTCTTGCCAGCCAACCGACTTTATTAATGGATCCGTTTCCTCCTTGAATATATACCCAGCATGGCTCATCATCCCCACCCTTAAGTACGTTACACTAGATGCATGTGTGCGGCCGAAGTAGACTACTTCATGCTCCTGCCAAACGTCTACTACTGTTGTTTGAAGCAAGTGAGTTGGAATTTGGAAGTCTACGGTTTTCCTTCTAAATCTCCTTCGTTTTTTATTTGTGCATTGAATTTTTTTCAGGAGGAGAAGATCCTCTCAACACGTCGCAACAACTGACAAAGCCAGGAAAAGCTTTTCTCTCGTTTGTTCGTGGTGGTGGCAGAGTAATCTCGTTTCCCAAAGTGCTCTCCTCTCTTCATTGCATCAGATCTTTCCGAGGAGTAAGTGCCATGATGACGATGATACTATAGCCAAGAAGAAGAAGAAGCGACTATAATAAACCTAAAACCCGTTCCTTTCTTTCGAGATCATTCACCGTTGGCTGGGCAAACGACTACGCCTTCCGCTTCTTCCAAGATACGGAAATAAATTTTCATGACAAACTAAATAGACTGCGTGGTGATCGCCCAAGGAACACGGAAAAAGCTTATGCAAACCAGATGTAGTCTGTCAAAATTAGGAAAACTAACGAGTTGTTTTCCCTTCTAATTGTTTCCTTTGGGTCGTGTTTTTTAACTAAAGTGCTCCAGAAAATGAACTTCAAAAAATCTGTGTAAACTACGACTAACTATTTACTACTACGTATATTAAACCATCCTATTTTTGGTAATACTGTTCTTGCATTAACCCAAAAATCACACACGTCGCTCGATGTTACTTGTTTCAGTCCACTTGCTGGTTTTATGGTTTTTTAAGAGATGCATCTGCGATGCGGAATTGGATTCGCTTATTTCAGGGTGCATTCTAAATCAAAACAAAGTATATACCACCAGATATGAAACTCTGGCATATGGATGGCAGGATGAAATCGATGAGACTGCATACATAATGCATATATATCTGTAAGGATACATATATTGTCAATATGCAATTCCAACCAAGTATACACGCTAAGTGTGTTGATTCGGCTTCTGGACATGCAACATATATATGTAGGCAGCAGGGTAGAGAAAATAAAAACAAGGATGGAAAGCCAACTCGTGTGTGTACACCTGCTTGAACAGGTCGTAAATCAGTCTCCACAAGCTGTCTGTGTCTTATTGAATTGCTAAATTGAATTCAGCATTTAGTGATTAGTATGCCATTCTGCATCCACACTTCTCGAACTTGATTCGAACTCTTGAATACAAAACACAAATCAAAGCCACCACACACGGAATCATTCAATGTCCGTCATGTCATCCCAACGCTGATCGTGTCACTCCACATTCTCGATTTTATCAGAGTTTGCATTGTAAGCCGCTCAGTCAGTTTGACGAGAAAATGCATAATGCTTTCACTTCACTAGAAAGAGACCAAGATGAGACTCGTAACGTTTCTGTCCGTCGACTCAAAGAAGAAGGAGTAACAGACAACTAGCTGGTTGCCCCGTGTGAGATGCACGAGTCGAAACTACAACTTCTTGTTCTTATCATCCAATCGCGTGACGTGTGTAGCTGCCAATCCATTGTTTTGCGTGGGTAGAGGAGGCATCATACTTACGCTATAACAATTTGTCGTCTGTTGGATTGTTGTTATATGCCGAAGTTCAAGGAAGAGTTACATATTGCGTGTAATTGCTCCATGCGGCGGAGAGTTGATAGGTGAGGCTGATAAGAGACATTTACGTAACTTGACGTGTGGTTCTTCTAACCACAAGAAAAGAAGGCACCAGCAGCAAGCGATTAGTTTTATTTTCTGGCACAGAAATCCTTTGTCATGACCATTAACCATTAGCTCTTTAATGAGTTCAACATCCACAGAAGTAGTGAAGATGGTGGTGGGAAGCTTGACTTATAAAAAGATTTAGGGAGTTTAGGTGAAAAGTTTAATTGATGTTGCAGGCTAAATACCCACACATAGTGGGAAGAGTCACAACCTTTGGAACTAACAGAATAAAAAATCACCACTCCAAATGAACTCGGGTTTTGTAGGTTTGAGTCGAAAGTGAGAAAAACCATTTGTCAGACAAACCAAGAAGTGAACAGGTATCCCCATTTCTTCATAAACAACAAAATTCTGGAGCCTTTCCATGCTCATTTCTATGCCTTCTATGTTGGGGCACATTTTTTAGTATTCTCTCCACAAGCGGTGTATGCATTTTGCGGGTTGAAGGAAGAAAGATGCACTTTATAAAAAGCTGTTTATGTATTCTACCGCACCATGAGACCCAAATTCATCATTTTCTTGAAGAACTAGTAAATATTTTATGACTAGGACGAAATGAGAATCTGGTCTCTACCCTTATGACAAGAAATATCGACTATCTTACGCACATATGTACATGCACATACGAAGATACATACATAAGTATTTATATGCATAATTGTACTGCTATTGTCCTCAGTGGCTTCGGTGTGTCAATTTTCAGACGCGTATATTTTAGTGATTTCTCTGCCTAATAAATACTTTGAACAAGTGATCCTACATATTTTGCGTGTCATCAAAGTTAATGAAGATATACTAATAGCCTTAGTGTCACATCCTTTATCTCAAGAAATGGGCAAACTGAGATGACAATGGGTTGATGAGGGTGCTGCAACGAGCAAATTGTTGTTTTCACGGGACAACACGGCCTTAGGTTATGCATACCAATTACTACACATATTCATTAATTTCACTGCCCAAAGTTTTTTGCTGACCATCTTGCTATGAAATGTACAAATGATCTTCGCCCGGTCAAAGAAGACAGATGGACGCTGATGGATGAGAAAGATGAGAAAATAACCATCACTCATTACCTGCGCTTGTTGTTCCAAAGAGCACGATATATAATACATAGCAGTCAGAATCCCCTTTCTTATGGTTAATAGACCTACAAATTTTAAATGACTAAATGACTTGAGAGACATATAGTCGGAAAGTATACGCTCTGACTAAGAGAGCAGACGAAAGAATCTTTAGGGAAAATTGCATTTTTTGCCATGGTCCTCAGGTAAGAATCTATTGGAATATACGTACATACATACGGACCATTTTACTATGGGACACGTCGTTAAATTAAGTGGATGGTTGGTCGTGAACTTGTAACAGAATTATGAGAGTTGGCAGAAATGAACTGTCAACTCTTTCACGCATTGCTGCCTAAATCCGCAGAAGAGTCATTAATTTGAATTTTTTGTGGACTTTCTTGCAAGTAAAATTCCTCTTCGCTGACCAATAGCGTTGAGCAAAAAAACTAACATTCTAAAAGTCAACTGGTGCAATCAGTTTCTCAAAAATGTGAAAACTTCATCCATTCAAAAATACCCAACTTGAATATTTAGCATAAATCCCCGAGTAGAAGATATTGCTAATGTTTAATCAAGCAAGATCTAGGATTTCAAGCGACTTATTGCTATTCACGAGATTAGTGGGAAGATAGCATAGCTCCAACGGTGTATATTAAATTGTGCGTATATGTATATTTATGGTGTGGGGTTGGAGTAGATTTAATGGGCATGAGACCTAAAACGAGAGCACGGTAGGTGCTCATTACTCTTCTAACTAATCCTGAAATTGAACCAATATTATTTCGTGAAAGGGTGGTACAAGGAAAGTTTTGACAGCCACTGAAATTAATCTGGAAGAAGCATTTTATCATCGTAATGACCTGAAAGAAGACGCCCAACAGATATGGATAATCACAGATCTATCCTTCGTCGAGATCACTTAACTCTGGTTTTACAATTTCACTCGTTATTAGCCAAAGTCGTCAGTTATTTTTCTCTATCATTTAGATTTCCACATTTTAACACATAATTTTGGTAAATATCATGTTCAATGTTGGTATCCTCCACTTTCTTTGTAATTTTGGCCAAGTGCGATTATACTTTAACCGAATTTCGCAATTTTTTCCACACATGGACAATATATGTATGTATTCGAATGAAGTGCACATTAATAAATTTGGTATACAATCAATTACATTTAATATCGTGTCAATATTTAAAAATTAAATCTACATCATTTAAAAAAGATGTTTAGGGCTCACATCTAACAGTAAAAGCCAAGTTCATTGGTAGTTGCAAATGCAACACTGTGACCTCGCCGGTGGCTCCATTTACGGTGTAATCAAACCAAGGGTTTCCATTAACGTACATTAGTCTGAACGGGGTATGACCCATGAGTCTCAAGGTATCCAACCTTTTAGTGGCCATTTCCGCGTATCCTGTTTTTAAAGATCAACCGAGTTACACAAAGTTGCCTATTAAACTTTGAACCATGAACAATGAAAATATTAATTTTGAAATTTTACCATTTTGAGCAACCGTGCCGGTCAAAGTTCCATTGGAGAATTCATACTCGGCCAAATAGTAGTTACCAACCGTATGCGAATCTATGAAAAACATGAGAGTTGTTTAATAACATGTATGCAAATACAAATTGTAAGGTATGTAAGTGACAAGATCTAGGTATTCAATTAAGTACCAATAGTATCTCCTCCATCATCGTAGAACAAAGTTCCTTGTGCAGACTGATTCTCGTCCAAGGCAATGATTAGCCCGAATGGATTGTTTCTGGCCAAAAGGGTAGTTCTCTCAGGATCCTGTGTGGGTAGGATGTTACCTCCATGAACATGCAGAGGAATGTAATCCAATGGAGCTTGCAATTGAACAGTCTGTCCTGGGGTTTGAACCTCCATTCCATCGTAATAGTTGAACCATCTTGAATCTGGGAAATATGCTTGAACAGAGGTTTGACCTTCGTCCAAAACTGCAGAAATAAGTAATCCAGTGCCCCACAAGAACTGTTTATCAATTCCGCTGGCCACTTGATCCGTGGGAAACAAGTGCCACAATGCCCTAACGACGGTATCCCCCCGAGTATGGTGAAGATGAAACAAAGTGTATAAATATGGAAGTAGGTTGTATCGAATCCTCAATGCGGTCCTCGTTGAATTAGCTACAGCTGGACCAAAATAGCCTGGATCTTGGTCTTGGTTGAAGATGGCGTTGTGGTTTCTCGAAAACGGGTAGAAGGCACCGAGTTGCCCCCATCTTTGACACATTTCCGGAGTAGTATTGTCATTAAATCCACAAATGTCTGAACCAGACAAAGGGACGCCAAAGTGATTGTATTGAAGCATTCCAATGATTGAAAAATGAAGGTTCGACCATCGCGAAAAGTTGTCTCCAAGCCAATGCGCAGCCCAGCGGCCGGATCCAAGGAAGGTTGACCTACATAATACATGTTTAGTTATTACTCGTCAAATATCTAGTTAACTCTAGAACATTTAAAAATCATTTATATAGACCTTGACAATACTAATGCACGCTTCCCTGTCCCTTCCTGAGTACCTCTGCAATAATTTTCATGTTAAAAATCTACTCGCATATGGATTAAGTAGTTCAAGTGTGTTATTTACATTAGCGTCGGTTCGGATTGGAACCACCCATACAGAGAATGAACATCATAGTGAACTCCAGCAGCTTGGACACTGTCCGCACAAAGGGTGAAGGACCACAGAGTACCTCCAAAAATTGCTGAAAAAATAAATCATAATGTTAGAAGACTGTTTTTCTGTTATAAATTTGATAACATTTCTGAGTATTCTTACGTGGAACATAGGGTGGACTGTTGAGAGAATTTCCAGGACATCCGTTGACATCTCCGTCAATGAAATTTGCAGGTTCGTTCATGTCAATCCAGAGACCATCGTATTCCAGAAGGTTATGAAATTCCTTGATGAGATAGATCCACCATTCCCTTGGGAGTTTGTTGAAAACCATAATATGTACATATAGCCATATTTTTATTTATTTTGCATATGGTTTAAGCAAAAATTACTTTGTGGATTCTGATGAATAATCAGGAAAATAGACGGGCGGATCTGGCCAAACCTTGACGTGAAAAATCAAGACGTGTGATAATTAAAATCTACAGTTTTTGCATGTTTTGTTACGTACCTTTCCTTGGGTTGGCGTTCCATCAGCCCTCTTTACCCAGACGTCCATCGTCTGGCCTAAGTCAAAGGTTTCGTAAGATCCTGGGGGCTCACCAATACTAATAGCAGGATCCTGCACAGAAAATGTATTTGTATTTATGTGCGAAGTCATATTTTGATGAGTATCTTAAAGGATTGATCATCGAATGAATCCATTTTCATTATTAGTTTATTACCAAAATCGTAACGAATTTAATTCCTTTTGCTTTGAGCTCTCGGATGTATTCCGGTAGACCGTTAAATCTAACTGGGTCATACGTGAAGTCGAGACGCCGAAGCATAATGTCAATATCACCATACTGGACGTCGTGGGGGATATCGTATTGCTCTGTGCGGTCAACAGCGGCTCTCATGTTGGCAATCGAATCATACCCATAGCGGCAAAGCTGGAAGCCAAGGCCCCAATATGGAGGCATAGGAGCACGACCCACAGCCTATGAATAATTATTTAGATAAATGTATTGTGCTGATGTTGCGACCTACTTAAGTGCATATGTACATATACATGGGGCAGTTTTTGACGGATAATCGTACCTCTGTATACTGTTGAACTGTATTCTCGGGAGATGGTCCCAAGAAGAAGTAAAAATCTAGAACACCGCCAATTGTAATATAATTTATAGAACCTCCCGGGCGCATAGTAAACTCTTGAGCGTTAGCATTCACGAGTGCCACAGAATGTGCATTTCCATCGGTTTCAAGAACCGTGTAGTAAGGCTGGACTCCATAAATGTTGACTGTGCCCTGAAATGATTGAAAGGTGATAAGACATTTGCCTTTTCTTATTGATCAATAGCTTCTATCGCAGTACCTCCGGTGTGTGATCTCTAGCCCACAACGGATATCTCTTATTTGCACTAAAGTCATGTTTGAAACTGGTTTGCTCATTTTCGCCAATTCCGTACACATTTTCACTGGGCAGACTCCAGGTCAGGCTGAGATACTGGTCTGCATATACGAAATTCTTTTGTCCGACGGTCGTGTCAAATAGCACGGTACCCGTTGCTTTTCGAATCACTTTGAAAGAAAACAAGGGGGAATTTTCAAATTGAAGTTCATAAAGTGGGTCTTGGTTCCCTTCGGCAGGTGGAAGGATTTCAATTGGCACTTCAAACCGAGGTGGCCCTGTGGCTGGAGTTATCTATGTAAATAGGATGACTAATGGTAAAATATTTGAAATCATTTATTTATGTGTATCAATTTTCGGACTACCTTCACTCGCAATCGCCCATTTGACTGAAATTCAGCTTCCAGAACCAAATTCTCTGCTTCATTGTCCCATCGAGTTCGACCTGCAGACCGTTGGAGTTCAACTCGAACTCCACCAGGTGAATTAATGGGTTCTCCCACCATTACGTAACCCACTCCCACTTTGGAAACATAACACCACGGGATTGGCGTGTCGGGGACCTTGTAATAAAACAACAGTTGCAATTATAGTTGTAATTAATAGTAATCAGGAGTGTACGTAAAATTATGTTTTTAATATTTACGGTTGGACACCAGGTACAGTTTAAGAGATGACAACTTTCTTCCACAGTGTCATGACTAGATCCTGGACATCCTGTTCTGTCCCCATCTTCTTGATAGTCGTCATCGCATCCATGCCCTTGTCCCAAAGCTGGAAGTTACATGTTAAAAAATAATATTCTACAGAGTGGACATTATAAATATCTCTATTAATTTGTCTCGAGTAATTCGAGTTCCTACCGGCAGGAACAATTAATGCTACGGCGACCAAAAGGTACGCCAGCGCCGTCATTCTTAGACGATGTGCCATGGTCCGCAAACAAGTAAAACGTATGCCAGTCTAATTATTTTAGTTGTCTGAAGCTTTATATATGCTCCAATTTCACGTTGTCCAGTCATGCCTACATCCATCAAGTATTTATAGTTCAAAATATTTATTGTGATTAGAGTTTTAGATAAAGGCAAATGCTTGTACCCCATACTTTCTTATCATGAAGCGATAACGTCAACGAGTCTTGTATTCAATGGGATATCAATCACAAATTACAACTGCACACGCCTCTGCACTAATTTCCAAAAACGGAACGTGCTTTGCATATGCAAGAATTCCGCAAATTGTGTTGACATGTATCACGCGGATTTCAAGCAAAGTTGAATGATTCAATTGAGTTGATAAGAATAAAGTGGGACATTCATTTATATTTTCATGAAATTATTATCTTGTGTGCATCATTACTTCATTTACTCATGTTTCGCATTTCAGTATAGTCTGATTATAACTAGACGGCAATAAAATTATGGATTTGTAAATAATTTATCCTTCACGTGCAAATGTAGAGGCATTGTGTCCGTCAGTGTCAATCTGCGATAACTTTTTTTAGACTTATCCGATTGATCCTGAGTTAAAGTTTGATTTTAAAGTCTTTTGCATGATGCACGTACTATAAGTATATTTGGCTGATTATGAATATGATGTAAATACTATTATTTACGCATTTTTTCGGGTGACGACCACCACCGATTGTTTTTAATTATTGAATTAGTTGGTGTAATGTATCGTTAATTCATTACTACATAATTGGGTAGGTAGAAATATATTAAGATTTCAATAGTTTTTAATCCAAGTCAACGTTTATGGAATTGTCATGTCCGTCCATCTGTCCGGCTCTTTGCGATAACTCTCGAGAACTATCATGCTTGTAATTTATATTTAGTGTCTCGAACTAATGAAGGCTGCTTGGCAGATTCTGTAACAATAACCATTGGAATTATATGGCTGCTCTCATTCTGCATATGATGAATAAATGATCTTCAATCATAGGCTTATATTAATAAACCTGTTTGTTGTGTTCTAATGGTTTAATAAATACTGGAATGAATACATTTCACCGTTGGAGTTTAACGTTTACTGCAACATCGTCTCACACGTTTAGTTACGACGATATTGTTCTTCAACTTCAAAAGCGAGTGCCGGGCCCAAAAAAATACGCTAACAATTCCTAAGGGTCGATTTTACTTTTTCTCTCAAGTTAAGAGGATCGAGATGACAGTAAACAAGGATTATTGGTTCGGCTGCACTTGAATAAGCATTAATTTTCTAATTTTAGTTATAATCGGAAAGCCCACAAAGACACCGAAAAATATTGTGAATGCCAAATTGTAATAAAAAGTATCATAGGTAAGTCAAATGAGGTTCGTATTTTTAAAAAAATTAGTAAAAAATTACTTGACCAACAATGGGTTGACCAATCTATGAATATTTAGGTGCATATCAGCACAATCTATTTACGAGTAGTTAGTTGGCATCATATTGGTTTCCCACGATCAAGAATTATATTTTTAAAATCGATGAAACCGCTGCATACAATTCCAAGTAGCGAAGAGAAATCTGCAAAAAATAGATGGTAAATTTCTTCAATAAATCGAACGAGACATCATGAAATCCCAATTTAAATTTGCTGTGAATAAAAGCTGAATCCAACCCAAAACTAATAATCCAATGGCAATTCCTTACACATTTATTTAGGATGACACGCAGCATAATGAAATTACGAGAAGAATGGACGAATGAATTGGGATGGAGTGAAATCAAATATTGGGCTCTGAGTATGAGCTTGAATTATGCATTCCCCTGCCTGAGAAAAGCAATTCTATCGTATGTACTCACTGTCCGTCCGTCTACTCTCTTGCAGGGCAGACCGTGATAAGAAGGGACAGTGGTCAAACTTAATTTAATTCATAAATTCTGATGAGAATTTTCCAAGAGCAGGAGAAGGAGAAAAGGATCGAATTTGGATATAGGAGTTTTTTCATGGTCAGATTTGATCCTGGATTTGACCACTCACTTTACCCAACCGACGTTGGGTCTCTTGCGAAAAGATTTCAGTTTCAAGGGAAGTTCGGGTGGGATGACTCTTTTATGTAGATATGCATCCCTCCTCTTTCGTCGTCGCCTCATGCACAACTTTCCCCCGTCTCCAACACGTCACATATAGAACCAACGGACTGACTGAAGTCATCCATCCTCAAAATTGCATTCGCTTGTACAAACTCACTGGGCGATGGACATAAGGAACTTGTTATTCATACAAAGTGATGGTATTCAGCGATAAGTTTGGCTCATTTCAAATTCATATCTTTAACATGGACCAGCGAAAACTTTCTACGGCGCATATATATCTTTCCAAGATAATGCAATTCACTTCATCTTCGATACGTCGTAAACGTTGGAAATATATTCTGTCCTTCGTTCTTTTATGCGATATCGATTAAAAGTTGCATTATTGGGAGCAAAATATCTGGTTGACCAGTCCATACATTTGAATGGACAAAAGGGCATATGTATGTATATTATTCATGAATGGTAAGTACGTTGGTAAGGTCAAATCCTACCCTTTTGTCAAAATAAGGTCCATGCAAATCAAAATCAGAACCCTGAACAGGGGATTAAACTGGACTGTTCAATATGTTATAGGACATATTGAGCATAAATTCTATGTTGAGGTGTGCGTATGTATGTACATATTCATGAGTTTAATAAAATTACAAAATGTGGGAAAGACAAAATTTCAATTATTATGTAAAATATCCTAAAAGTGACCATTTCTTTCTCACGGTAAGAAACGTATTTATGTCGCGCAAAAAATGACCTGTCCAATACCAATGATTCTTATTAGATATTGGATATTAGGACCAAGTCTTTCTTTGAATTTACACGGAACTGAGTAAGCAAGGGAATTTCTCCTGATGTACTTACATGAACCAAAAGTAGACCCTGTTTGTCGTATCAAATCCAAAAGACTTTATCCAGCAGTTAGCTGACACGCAGACACGCTTATTAAGTTGCGATGAGGTAGAACGGATTTGATTTCTTTGGTGGACACGGTAGACTGGAAGCAATTCTCTGTGTAATCCCAAGACGACGACGCTAGGTATATAGATATGTGCATGTGCATACATAGATACATGCATATGTATTTGCAGTATGAGTAGTAAAAGAGGTCATATTTACGGTACAGGACACATAAATTTTCTTTCTGAGGAAAAAGAATGTCGTAATAAGAAAAAAATATAATTTTGCAGACGAAGATGACGAAGGGATCTTTCGATATATTATGTCGGTGTTGAAAAACTGTGGATTCCTGACCGCCCAAGTTGGCTCCGACGACGGGCCTCCTTCTTGTATTTACTCCATTGTGGGAAACTGTGGTGAGCTTTTCTCAAAAATTATCAACTTGAGACTACATATTGATTTTTATTATTCATTGAAATTGGATCAGGAATCATTCTAATCGCTAAAACATTAGCAGTACTTGAATTTCTGGTGTTGGTTTGCCGCATATTCAAATCTTAGATGGGACGGGTCATGATTGATGAATAATAATTTTCTAAAACTCCGATTGTGAGACCATACCAAGTTCTTGCCAATGATTATTTCTGAGAGACCGCTGCTGACAGAAAAAAACAGGTTTAGGACGAGGAATGATTTGGACTTGAATGCGAACTATACTGGTGGTTCACGATCACGTTATGTGGTTTATTGTTCTTTACATGCAATCTTCCTCATGTGTGACAACATCATCAATATATTACATATTCAAAGTCGTATGTAATCACAGAACTGCATCCAGAGCAATAAAGTTATTCGAAACACGGATTTACACTTTACAATTGAATGTAAGTTTACAGTTGGCAAGTGGGGATTTTTTTCGACAAAATTGAAGGCTGACAGAAGAACCCCTTTTTCGTGCTGGATTGGTTTGTCCCATTTTTGCATTTTGAGAGCGAGAGGTTTCCAGTCCCAGAATATTTTTTGAATGAGGAAATGCTCTTATTGTGAAAGTGCATGAGCAAATGTGATTGTCTGCACTTTTCCATTTCCTCGTGGGTGTGAAAAACGGATGTTGCTTTCCAACAACTTTTCCATTTCCATTTCATTCACTTTATCGCCATTTTCATTTCTTTCGCTTCTTCCGCCACTCACAAACTCTTCCGATATGGAAAATTGTACCTTTGGAATAAATGCCGACTTTACTCTCGAAAGTTATCATCAATGCATGCGTGTGAAAAGGCTTGATAGACGTGTAAGTGGTAAACCCTCTACAATTTCATGTATGAAATATAATATTCTTATTAACCAGATAATAATATAGAGCAGGTATTTTTTGATGTATTATTGGTCCTGAGAATAAAATTGAGTGTACATACATGTGTATAGTGAGTCATAAGTGTATGTACTGACGATGAGTCGATCACTTTGCTGTGTAGATTAATAACTAAGACCCTGATTTCTAATATTGTCTGGTTTACCCCAATTTCCAATTTTTATAATCGGGGTAACTTTCTAGAGCAATTTTACAATTAAAAGCGACGTCAGTCCGTCGTTGGTTCGTCCGTTTGGCGGATACCTTTGGCTGCATGGGAACACCGATCGTCGTCAGCCTTAACTTTGAGTGATTACAGGAACCATAAGAAAGTGATGGTTGGAAGGAGTGCTTAATGGTTATGTGCCGCCTATTGCTCAAATTATATTATGCAACTCTCTCGTAGCTCCTGTTAGTTAATGTGAGATTGGTTTGTAAATATAGTGATTGAGAGTTTCAAAGAACAAAAAGAGTATTGTACGAATAAAATTAATAGCCTTAACCACACAACGAAAAAGTACAGGATCGATGTTGTGTTAAATACATGTGTCTATTGAGGGGTCTTCCTCGTCGTACGATATTTACGTACTACGTACGTAAGTATTTACCAGTCCTCGGCCGAGTGGAAAGAAAGTGTTAGTTGCCTTTTTGGTCTATGTTATGTAACAAAATACGAAGGGCGATTTATGTATACAAAACAGCTTTGCTGGACTGTGAGACTCACTTTCTTCAGCAGTGAATACCAAGTCATTACA